GTGTGTGTGTGTGTGTGTGTGTGTGTGTGTGTGTGTGTGTGTGCGCGTGTGTGTGTGTGTACAACAGCTGATTTCTTCTTCTTCTGTTTTTACAATGGAAGCCTATCAAAAGTTGATCTGGTTCAGGTCTGCTTTCTGGAGAATCAGCTGAAGACTTTTATTACATAATTACATAATAATTAATATTAATATTCTATTTGAGCTTGTTTTGGTTTCCTCGTCTTTGTTCATAGGCCACGCCCCTCTGCTGGACTCCACTGTGCATGTGCGGGCATCACCATTAACCCCCCCATCCTCCCCCCCTCAGGTCATGTCAGCGGGGAGGAGTGCTGACGGGAGGGAGGTGCAGATTCCCCTCCAGCAGGTGGCGCCCCCCCTGACCACGCCCCTCTTGGTGGCTCCGCCCATCACCCTGCCCTCTCACCGTCAAGTCAATCCCTGGCCTCCCAGCGACATCACCACTTCACAAGGTAAACAAACGCATCATCAGCTGGTCTCTGTCCAGGTGTGTCTTTGTGTTCAGGATGAAGGAACTCAGGTGTGTCTCTGTGTTCAGGTGTCCCTGCAGGTTTCCTGCCTCTTCACGGAGGATTCAGAGATCACTTTGTATTAACTCCAGAAGCCAAATACTGCTGCGAGACCTGCAGCCTGGTCTTGTGTCAGCCTCGCCAGACAGAATGTGGACACCGCTTCTGTCAGAGCTGCATCAACGACATCCTCAGGTAAGAGAAGGAGAGACTGTTAGACAGAAAGTGGTTTACAGGTGTTTGTGCTACGTAACCTTTCAGCTTCAAGAATAAAATCAAAGCTAACTACCTGATTTCTCATAGACCTGAACGTGTTTATGTTCTGCGGTCTTTACACATACTAAACACATACTATACACATAATAAACACGTACTGAACACGTACTATACACATACTAAACACGTAATAAACATGTACTATACACTTACTATACACTTACTATACACTTACTATACACATACTAAACACGTACGAAACACGTACAAAACATGTACAAAACACTTACTATACACTTACTATACACATACTATACACATACGATACACATACTAAACATGTACTATACACTTACTATACACTTACTATACACGTACTAAACACATACTAAACACGTACTAAACACGTAATAAACATCTACTATACACTTACTATACACTTACTATACACGTACTAAACACGTACTAAACACATACTAAACACGTAATAAACATGTACTATACACGTACTATACACGTACTAAACACATACTAAACACATACTATACACATAATAAACACGTACTATGCACGTACTGAACACGTGCTATACACGTAATAAACATGTACTATACACATACTATACACATACAATACACGTACTAAACACGTACGAAGCATGTACGAAACACGTACTTAACACGTACTAAACACGTACTAAACATGTAATAAACATGTACTATACACTTACTATACACATACTAAACACGTACGAAACATCTACTATACACTTACTATACACATACTAAACAAGTAATAAACATGTACTATACACTTACTATACACATACATGTACGATACACTTACTATACATGTAATAAACATGTACTATACAGTTACTATACACATACATGTACGATACACTTACTATACATGTAATAAACATGTACTATACACTTACTATACACATACTAAACACGTACTAAACACGTACTAAACACGCTTATCAATTGTTTGTTCTAAGTGATATACTCCCTGTTTTGAATATGAAGCTCTTGTCCCTTCATGATTTGAATGCACTTATTGTAAGTTGTTGAGGACAAAAGTATCTGTCCATTGAATGTCATGTAACAGGCGGAGGTTGCAGTTCATGCTCTGACCAGCAGGTTGTCAACCTTTCTCTCTCTTCAGTAGAATGAAGTTGAATTAATGTCCTCTTTCGTCCTGTAGTCATCCAACCCCGGTATGTCCAGCTGACATGGAGCCTCTGTTCAAAGACAAGGTGGGCAGAGATCATTAATTCATTAATCATCATCATTTATTAATTGATTAGTTACTGAACTGTGTTTATTTTTCAGATCTTCAGAGACGTTTGCTGCCATCGTGAGATCATGGCGCTGAAGGTTTACTGTCGCAGTGAAGCTAACGGCTGTGAGGAGCAGATGAGTCTCCAGCAGATACCTGTAAGAAAAACAAGAGCATCCCGCTCTTTGATTGGCTGTAGAGTGTGCTGTATAAATCCTATATGTGTACCTCAAACACCGTTACCCGTTGACTAAAAACAATAAAGGACTCCCAGGTGTCCACGTGCAATTGATGACCAGGTTTGATCATATCAAGACAACTCAGTCTTCCTGTCTGTCTCTCACTTGTCTGTCTGTAGGACCACCTGAATGTGTGTCCGTTCTTCGAGGTTCCTTGTCCGTTGGGTAAATGTAAAGAGCGAATGATGAGGAAAGAGATTCCCGACCACCTGAGCTGGAAATGCAAACACAGAGAGACCAGCTGCGAGTTCTGCATGACCAAGATGCCTCTGACCGACCTGCAGGTATCTCATGACATCACTGCTGACCAATCTGCAAGTAGACTAGCTCCAGTTCTAGAGACTTGCTGAGGAGGTCTGGGGACGAGCTGCAGAGGATTGGGGACTAGCTTCAGAGGTCTGGGGACTAGTTGCAGAGGATAGGGGACTAGTTGCAGAGGATAGGGGACTAGTTGCAGAGGATAGGGGACTAGTTGCAGAGGATAGGGGACTAGTTGCAGAGGATAGGGGACTAGCTGCAGAGGTCTGGGGACTAGTTGCAGAGGATTGGGGACTAGCTTTACCACAGTTTTTGAAGCAGCAGCACCTTTAGTGACGCTTCTCGGAGTGATCAGCCCCTAAGTGGGTAAAGGCAAATAATGGAACAGCTAGAGCAGTCTGGTAAGTTCACTTGTGCAATATAACAATATTATATTATGGATATATTGTCCAGCCATAGACTGCACCATCATTCTGTGAAGCTGCCGTCCAGATTCTGAAGTCCAGTCTAAAGTTTTTTGTCATGATGATTAACATAGTGAAGTTTCTGTCTGTTTTCAGAAACACAAAGAGACAGTGTGTCCAGCGTTCCCAGTGTCGTGTCCAAACCACTGCTCCTTTTCCTCCCTTCTCCGGAGTGAGGTAGTGATCCAGTTTGTCTTCTGCCGTCCAGTCAGTCTTGTTAAGTACTGAGTTAACCAGTGCGCATTTGTGTAACGCTTCTAGAGGAACGGAAGACGTGTAGCTATTGTTGTTGATGTCGTGCATAAGTTTTAAGTAAAGTCTTAAACATGTACAGTTGTCGCTGGAGTTATTGAATTAACATGGTAGCAGAGGATGGCAGCTGGCAATTACAAAGTTCCGCCGCCGTTTGACGAGAAGAAGTCTTACGAGAGCTAGAAAAATGAGGTTGAAATTTGGAAGCTGGTGACGGACCTCGAGGAGAAGAAGCAAGCCTTGGCGGTCGCTTTATCGCTGACGGGAAGTGCGAGGGATAGTGCACTAGAAGTTAACGCAGAGGATTTGAACGACGATGAAGGAATGAATATACTTCTCACAAAATTGGACGCTGTGTTTTTGAAAGAGGAAATGGATCGCCAGTACAAGGCGTACACAGAGTTTGACCGGATCACAAGAGAAAATGGCATCTCCGTCGTCGATTACATTGTCGAGTAACGTAAGTTCAAGATGGAGCTTCCAGATGCTGTGTTAGCTTTCAGGCTACTAGATACTGCAGGACTTAATGTTAAAGACAAACAATTGGCGCTTACCGCGTGTCCAAACCTTTTGTTTGTGAACATGAAATCAGCCTTGAAGAGAATCTTTGCCGATAATTCTCCACAAGAGGGAGCTGATGACCTCCGTGTGTGTGGGGGTGCTGCCGACTCTGCCTACTACACACGGTTTACCAGCAAGCGTGAAAGTAATGTCATGTCAAGCCCACAGATCCATGCGGCTGTTCAAGGGACGAATCCACTGGACAGATGGAGAAGATCAAGATGTGCAGTCTGCCAAAGCACATATCACTGGGCAAAGGATTGTCCTCACAAAAATTAATGTGCCAAAGTGACAGAGGATGAGAAAGTGACAGACGTTGAAGAATGCAACATTACTTTGTTGTCAAAAGAATGGTTGTCTGACACAGAGATATTCATGGAGTCTCCAGGATCAGCTGTCATTGACACAGCTTGCACTAGAACTGTGTGTGGAGAAAAATGGCTTGATCATTACACGAGTGGACTAACACTGACAAAGCCACAATGTTTAAACAGCCAGTGAAACTTGAACTAACATCTTCAGGACATTACTGTGTGAACATCAGAGATGAGAGTAACCCAGATGAAGATGAGCTCCAGAATGAGGATGACATTCTCACTGTAACAGAAAACATGACAACAAAAGGAAAACAAAAAGTTCTGTTGAAACTACACAAGCAATTTGGACACGCCTCTGTTGACAGACTGAAACAACTACTGGCCTGCTCAGGTAATGCTGATGATGAATGCACCACAATCCTTAAGGACATTGTAAAAAACTGTGAGACGTGCATCAGATATAGCAAACCAAAGCCAAAGCCAGCGGTGGGTTTGCCCATGGCCTCAACCTACAATGAAACTGTAGCTGTGGATTTGCATGAGCTAGAGCCAGGAGTGTGGTATCTGCATGCAATTGACCACTTCACACGCTTCAGTGCAGGGAGCATCGTCACCACCAAGAAACCCAGGGAGATTGTGAAGCACTTTATACATTGCTGGATAAGTGTTCCTGGTCCTCCACGCAGACTGTTCAGTGACAATGGGGGTGAATTCAACAACGAAGATATGAGGGACATGGCTGAAAGCTTCAACATTCAAGTGAAAACAACTGCAGCTTACAGCCCATGGAACAAAGGGCTTTTGGAAAGGCATAATCAAACCCTCACTGAAATCCTGATGAAAGTGAAGAGGGACAATGGATGTGACTGGAGGATGGCCCTAGACTGGGCCCTGATGGCAAAGAACTCTATGCACAACGTGCATGGCTACAGTCTTTACCAGCTGGTATTTGGACAGAACCCAAATCTGCCTTCAGTTCTCACTAACAAGCTGCCAGCTCTGGAAGGTACTAATATGAGTACTTGGATAGCCCAGCATATCACAACATTACATGCTGCAAGGAGAGCATTTACAGAAGCTCAGCTCTGAAAGGATCCAAAGAGCCCTTCGTAAACAACTGCGGCCCATTGATGACCGATACGAAACAGGGGACAAAGTCTACTACAAACGGATGGAATGTACAGAATGGAAAGGTCCAGGTGTGGTCATCGGCCAAGATGGTGTGGTGATATTTGTGAGGCATGGAGGCACTTACGTTCGTGTACATCACTCCAGGCTTCGAAAAGTAGAGAGCCCACAAGCAGTGCTGGGAGAAAGGGACATTCAGCAGGAAGGGACTGAACATCATACAACATTACCAGAACCTGGCTTCAATGAGAATAACTATGACACTGAAAATGAAAGTGAGGAAGAGACGCCTACAAATGGTGAGGAGAACAGTGAACCCCCTCACACACCAAGACAGCCAGAAGGAGATAGCCATGGTCAATCTGACGCATCACAGAACAACTCAACCACAACTTGTGAAGGCCTTAGTCTGAAAACTGGACAGGTAGTTACATACACAGATAGTGAGAGTGGCCAAGCACACACTGGAAAAATCCTCAGCAGGGCAGGAAAAGCCTCTGGGACATACAAATACTGCATAGTTTGGGGTACATTGAGCCTGAGGAAGGTTCTGTTGACTTAGGACGAGTACACAATCTTCAAGTGGTCCCAACTGAGCATGTCGAGTTATGTGCTAGCCATCCTGAAGACCTACTTATTGTGAATGATGATGCCTTCATGTCTGCCAAACACAGTGAACTCAGCAACTAGAAAAAGAATGATGTGTTTGAAGAGGTGAAAGATGAAGGCCAGAAATGCATCTCTACGAGGTGGGTGTGCACATTCAAGGAGATACCTGATGGTGTTGTACCTAAAGCTAGATTAGTTGCAAGAGGCTTTGAAGAAATGAACACTCAGGAGCTCCCTAAAGACTCACCTACATGTGCCGCGGAGTCTCTAAAAATGATGATGGCAGTGATGTGTCAAAAGAAATGGCAGCTAAACTCTATGGACATTAAAGCAGCCTTTTTACAAGGCAAAGAGTTAACCCGAATGTCTATATTCGTCCCCCCAAGAAGCTCGGAGCAAAGGCATTCTATGGAACTTAAAAAAGTGTGTTTATGGCCTAGCAGATGCTTCTCTGTATTGGTACAACAGAGTGAAAGACACTATGCAGCAGTTGATCCAGCAGTGTTCTACTGGCTGGATGACTCCTACAATGTGAAGGGACTCCTTGCTTGTCACGTGGATGATTTCATCTGGGGTGGTTCAGAAACATTCTCCACAACAATCATCCCTCACTTGAAAGTTGCTTTTCAAGTTGGACGTGAAGAGCACAACAGCTTCAGCTACATTGGAATGGAGGTTCACTCTTTAGAGGATGAGATACAAGTGCAACAAAGTATCTACATAAAGAATCTACAACCCATTCCTGTGGACCCCAACAGAGCCACACAGCGAGAGGCTCCTCTGACACTGAGACTGACATGTTAAAGTCGAAGATTGGCCAAATATTGTGGGTAGCAAGGCAGAGTAGACCTGACATAATGTGTGACATATCCAACCTAGCATCAAGTACAAAGCATGCTACTGTTCAGACTCTGCAAACAAACTTGTCAGGAAACTGAAATCAGAAGAGGTGATCTTGAGGTTTCAGCACTTGGGAAAAGACAGCTCGCTGAAACTAGTGGTGTTCAGTGATTCCTCGATGGGAAACCTTCCAGACGGAGGCACTCAAGGCGGACACCTGGTGATGCTTATGGAAGAGAATGGAAGATTTTCACCCATATGCTGGCAGTCAAAGAGGATCAGGAGAGTTGTCTGAAGCACCTTAGCAGGAGAGACTTTGGCACTTGCAGATGGCATTGACAGTGCAGTCTTCTTGGCTACACTCCACTCAGAACTTACCAAAGGTGATTGCACACGGAACAATTTGCCCATTGTGTGTGTAACGGACAATCCCTCTCTTCTTGATGCTGTCAAGTCCACCAAAACAGTCACTGAAAAGAGACTCCGCCTCGAAATCAGCAGCGTCAAGGAGCTCGTCCACTCTGGGACCATCCAGCAGATCATGTGGTCAGCCTCCAGGGAACAGCTCGCTGACTGCTTGACTAAGAAGGGGACATCTGCACTTGTTCTGTGGAGGGCTCTCAGCACAGGTGTATGGCAACTTAAAGGCTAAACGAGCGAATCAACAAAAGCCTTACTACCCTTAAAACTCTAGTCATTAAAGTTTAAACCTGTTTATCTGTTTAAGGTTCTAAAAAACAAATGTTTGTTTTTTGTGACTATGTTTTTCTTCAAAGAGAAAGGGGAGTTTGTTAAGTACTCAGTTAAGCAGTGCGCATGTGTGTAATGCTTTGAGTTCTAGAGGAACGGAAGACCTGTAGCCATTGTCGAACTTAAGTTTTGAGTAAAGTCTTAAACATGTACAGTTGTCGCTGGAATTATTGAACTAACAAGTCTGATTCAGTGTAGTTCTGTGGAGGCATCTCACCTGTGTAACCCCACAGCAGCACCTGGTAGTGATGACACTCATTGATTTGTTGTGTATTCTTTAGCTGTCCAGCCACCAACACGACTGTCCCAAAGCTCAGGTGAGCTGTCAGTTCCACCGCTACGGCTGCACCTTCAAGGTAACCGCTCGTCCTCTTCCTCTACTTCTTCTTCCGTTTCTTCTTCTCAGTATGAATGTTAATGTGCTTCTTTTGTACTTCAGGGTTTGAACCAGGACATGAGGCAGCACGAGTCCACCTCGGCAGCCGAACACCTGAGAATGATGGCCAACAGAAACTCCACGTTAGAGAACAAGGTAACCACAGCAAACCAGACTGAGGTAACATGGAACAGGGTTTGGTTTTGTGACTGATCTTTGTGTGCCTTTTCCACAGGTGGAGGATATTAAAGGTGAGCTGTTGGAGAGGTACAAGGTGCTCCCTGCTCTCAGCAGTCGACTGTCTGAACTTGAGAACCAGAGCGACGAGCTGAGAGAGAAGAACCGACAGATGGAGCAGAAACTGGCCACCATGCAGGTAATACTTTTACCTAATTCTACTAAGGCAAGGCCGTATATTTATACAACACATTTCATATACTGTGAAAGACAGAAGTAGTGTTTGAAATCCCACAAAATCAGTACATTGCAGAAATGAATAACCCACACAATTAAGGCCTTAAAATGGGACTCTGGGAATTGCATTAGGAAACCGTTATAGTTGTCCCAACGCTTTGTTTGTACCCCTAAAAGACTGTGACTGTAGTGTAACCTGCTCGAGATGAACGAGATAAAGGCAGAAAGTGTGCAATGACACAGTGCTGTCTACATTACTGTGTGTAGTACATCATAGACAGTCTGACCCTAAGCCTTGTCTGGCAGAAGCAGCTGTAAATAAAGGTGTATATGCTTTAAATGTGGGTGGAAACAATAAGCACTGTGATGGCAGAGCTTATGGGGGACTGGGATTGAAACTGTGACAAAACTGGAACCAAAGACTGCAGGTGAAGCCTCAGAACCATCAGCTACATTTTATGTCTGGCAGTCAAACTGACCAGTCCCTCTTCTGAACCCGGACAGACAATCATCTCTCTCTTCCTGTAGAAACTAATGAGCTCTCACTCAGAGAAGCTCCTGGAGGTGGAGCTGGAGCTTCGTTCCCTCCGTGTGCTCAGAGATGAGGTGGAGAACTTGAGAGGAACGCTGGAGACCGTCCGGACGAGACTGAACACTCTAGAACAAGGGGGACGCAGCGGGACTGGATCCACAACACACACTCTGGGTCAGAACACACACTGGGGACGGGACTGGGGACCATTTGCAGAAGTCTCTGAGATCTAAGGTCTAGGGACTAGTTGCAGAGGTCTAGGGACTAGTTTCAGAGGTCTGGGGACTAGTTGCTGAGGTCTGGGGACTAGTGGCAGAGGTCTGGGGACTAGTTTCAGAGGAATGGGGTCTAGTTTCAATGGTCTGGGGACTAGTTGCAGAGGTCTGGGGACTAGTTTCAGAGGAATGGGTCTAGTTTCAGAGGTCTGGGGACTAGTTGCTGAGGTCTGGGGACTAGTGGCAGAGGTCTGGGGACTAGTTGCAGAGGTCTGGGGACTAGTTTCAGAGAAATGGGGTCTAGTTTCAGAGGAATGGGGTCTAGTTTCAGTGGTCTGGGGACTAGTTGCAGAGGTCTGGGGACTAGTTTCAGAGGAATGGGTCTAGTTTCAGAGGTCTGGGGACTAGTTTCAGGGGTCTGGGGACTAGTTGCAGAGGTCCGGGACTGAAACACAGTTAATCAATAACTCTAATAATGAATATTCACATCTTTGCAGCATCCCTGGAGAATCAGCTGAAGCGACATGATGAGATGCTGAGTGTCCATGAGATCCGATTAGCCGACATGGACCTGCGTTTCCAGGTGCTGGAGACGGCGAGTTACAACGGGACCCTGATCTGGAAGATCCGCGACTACAAGAGAAGGAAACAGGAAGCGGTGGGTGCGAAGACACTTTCGCTATACTCACAGCCATTTTACACCGGATACTTCGGGTACAAGATGTGCGCCCGTGTCTACCTGAACGGTGACGGCATGGGCAAGGGGACGCACCTGTCACTCTTCTTCGTGGTGATGAGAGGCGAGTACGACGCCCTGCTGCCCTGGCCCTTCAAACAGAAGGTACTGACTAGTTACTGCCCTGTTTACTGAAGGATTATAAGATACTTTAACAAGGTGTTGTATAAGTGAAGCAATCTGTATTTCAAAATATTTTGGATTCAAACAAGTGAAACCTTCTGTCTGTCTTTTTGTTGATCTTTCTCTTTGTCTGTTAGGTGACTCTCATGCTGATGGACCAGGGTCCGTCGAGGAAACACTTGGGGGATGCCTTTAAGCCTGATCCAAACAGCAGCAGCTTCAGACGTCCTGCAGCAGAGATGAACATTGCCTCTGGCTGTCCTCTGTTTGTTTCTCAGAGCGTCCTGGAGACTGGCAGCTACATCAAGGACGACATCATCTTCATCAAGGTGATGATACACAACTCTGGGTCTGGGCACTAGTTGCAGAGATCTGAGCACACGTTTTAGAGAACTGAGGATTAGTTGTCGAGCTCTAGGGACTAGCTGCAGAGGTTTGGGGACTAGTTGCAGAGGTGTGGGAACTACCCACAGAGGTGTGGGGACTAGTTGCAGAGGTCTGGGGACTACCCGCAGAGGTCAGGGGACTACCCGCAGAGGTCTGGGGACTACCCGCAGAGGTCTAGGAACTACCCGCAGAGGTGTGGGAACTGCCCGCAGAGGTGTGGGGACTAGTTGCAGAGGTTTGGGGACTAGTTGCAGAGGTTTGGGGACTAGTTGCAGAGGTCTGGGTACTAGTTGCAGAGGTTTGGGTACTAGTTGCAGAGGTCTGGGTACTAGTTGCAGAGGTCTGGGTACTAGTTACAGAGGTCTGGGGACTAGTGAACTAGTTTACTAACCCTCGAGGTTATGGGACTGTGTGTTTGGTTTCCATATTGATCAATATCTGTGTTGATTGGTTTGGCAGGTTACAGTGGATACCTCTGACCTTCCTGACCCGTGATGTTACGAACTCTCTGACCGCGCTGGTCTGAGATCTGCTCACCTGTCTACGCCCAGTGGATGATGGGAAGGATCAGTGACAATGAAGGAGTCGTGCCTATCTAAGAGCGACAACGACGGCAGAAGAGAAGAACAAGGAACAGCCAGGAAGCAGCCAATCAGAGTGAACATTACAGAGACCGGAGGACGGGTCTTCTTTTGATTGGCTGATGGACTAAAGAACTGTGTGTGTGTGTGTGTGTGTGTGTGTGTGGTGTGTGTGTGTGTGTGTGTGTGTGTGTGTGTGTGTGTGTGTGCGTGCGTGCGTGCGTGCGTGTGTGTGTGTGTGAATGGATTCGTGTTGCCATGACATCACCATGGTGTTATTCAGAGCCAACATGGCCGCCACAGCGAGGACATTGTTGCTGCTCATTACTGATGCCGTGCATCAAGTTTTACTTCCTGTTTATTACCCGTTTACCAAAGTATGCTGGGAAATCCACTGCAGCCACAGAGTAGCTCAGCAGACCAGTACAGACCAGCAGGAACCAGTACAAAAACCTTTTCATTAAAATGTACCCAGTGCAAACCATTTACATGTAATATGACCCATTAAAAACTAGTAAGACCAGAAGAGTCTCACAAAGGACTGAGTAAGACCTGTTTAGACCCAGTACAAACCAGTGAAGACCTGTAAGTGTGAGTATAACCTGAATGAACCCAAGTATGGAAATTAATTTAAACAAGACACAATCCAAAAGTGTCCGCAGAACAATTCCTAGTTCCCAGTATAAGTTCCCAGTATGTCCCAGTATGAGTTCTCAGTATGTCCCAGTATAAGGTCCCAGTATGTCCCAGTATAAGGTCCCAGTTTGTCCCAGTTTGTCCCAGTTTGTCCCAGTATAAGTCTCCAGTATGAGTTACCAGTATGTCATAGTATAAGGTCCCAGTATAAGTTCCCAGTATGTCATAGTATAAGGTCCCAGTATAAGTTCCCAGTATGTCATAGTATAAGGTCCCAGTATAAGGTCCCAGTATGTCCCAGTATAAGTTCCCAGTATGTCATAGTATAAGTTCCCAGTATGTCCCAGTATAAGGTCCCAGTATGTCCCAGTACAAGTTCCCAGTATGTCCCAGTATAAGGTCCCAGTATGTCATAGTATAAGGTTCCAGTATAAGGTCCCAGTATGTCCCAGTATGAGTTCCCAGTATGAGTTCCCAGTATGAGTTCCCAGTATAAGGTCCCAGTATAAGGTCCCAGTCTGCTGAGCTCCTCTGTGGTTTCGGAGGTTTTCTTCGTCTCATTTCGACTCATTTTGATTTATTTGCACAGTTTGAATGTTTAAAGTGTCAAAATAAAAGAAAAAGAAAACAATCTGTTTTATTTAATTTAACTTTTTATTGATTTATTTATTTATTGTGTTTTTTGATGTTTTGGGTGATTTGACTGTTTGTAAACATTGACAGGAATAAAATGGTGTTTATTAATAAATGATCTCCACATTTAAAACAAACAGAATAAATAAATAAATATGAATAAATATATATAACATAAATATTTATTTATTTATCAAATATTTAATTTAGTTGTTGAAGGCGTTTTGACAAAAACAAGTACATAGATTACTACAGGAGTAGAAGAAGAAGAAGAAGGTGGGACATCTCTCATGATGTCATTCTTTCATCTCTCATTGGATGAAACACATACGACAAACAACAGCAGAAGTTTATAAGGAAATCGACACTAAGTTACTACTTTAAGTTAGTCTTTGAGTCCCCACGTCATCACGAACTAGAGTCTGAGTCCCCACGTCATAACGAACTAGTCTTTGAGTCATCACGAACTAGAGTCTTTGAGTCCCCACGTCATCACGAACTAGAGTCTTTGAGTCATCACGAACTAGAGTCTTTGAGTCATCACGAACTAGAGTCTTTGAGTCATCACGAACTGGAGTCTTTGAGTCCCCACGTCATCACGAACTGGAGTCTTTGAGTCCCCACGTCATCACGGACTGGAGTCTTTGAGTCCCCACGTCATCACGAAGTGGAGACTTTGAGTCATCACGAAGTGGAGTCTTTGAGTCATCACGATCTAGAGTCTTTGAGTCATCACGAACTGGAGTCTTTGAGTCATCACGAACTGGAGTCTTTGAGTCATCACGAACTGGATTCTTTGAGTCATCACGAACTGGAGTCTTTGAGTCATCACGAACTGGAGTCTTTGAGTCATCACGAACTGGAGTCTTTGAGTCATCACGAACTAGAGTCTTTGAGTCATCACGAACTAGAGTCTTTGAGTCATCACGAACTAGAGTCTTTGAGTCATCACGTCATCACAAACTAGAGTCTTTGATTCCTCATTGGACAGCCTGAGACATATTTCATTACGACTTTCCGTCCTGCTCTGTGATTGGTCGGCTGGAAGCTCGGTGGATTTTTGAGGTCAGTAACATTTTATTTGTTTTCTCAGATCAAATGTTTCTCCTGAGACGACCTGCAGCTCTGCAACCTTGTATCTCCAGACTGTTTTCTACTTTACCTACTCTGACTCTATTTACTAAGGTAATAAAACCTCGTATCTCCAGACTGTTTTCTATATGAAAAACATGTTGTTATATTTGAAAAAAAAATGCTAATTTTCTGCATATTTGCTGCGATTACTAATATTGTCAGGCGGCACAACTGATAAATGTCATGGTGGTGCGACCAGGTAAAATATTAATTTAAAGAAATGAATAACAGGTTAAAGTGAATTTTCTTTTGCTTGATATGATGTGAAGAACTATTGTATTGAATGTATTCATTTGTATATTTGTATTATTATGTTTCTCTGTTTAAATGTAAAATCAAAAGTTAAATATACTTAATACCTGCCAAGAGAACGCAATTATGATAAATTATTGTATATCTATAAAACACAACCACAAAATACGATGTGTTAGACACAGTAGACACTCTAAGGGATACTTGTCAGAAATTTCAGTTTGAATAAATATTAGGAAAATATATATTTTTTTATAAATATGTGGTTGCGCCACCTGACATTTTTTAGCCTGTGAAGTTAAAATACTATGAAAAGTTGGTTCACAACTTAGACTTGTTTCACCACATTTTTCCAGACAAAAATATGCATTACATCCATTTTGAAGATCATTTTTAAAATTACCTTTTTAGAAGCCTTATTTGTCAATGACCCATTTACTAAGGTAATAAAACCTTGTATAAGAAACCTGTTAATTGTAACAATTTATTACTTTTATCGTTGGTGTTAAAAATACATTCAGCATTTGCGCTAAATTCTTTATTTTGGAAAAACCTTGTATCAGCCAGTAAAATGTAAAGCTAGAATGTTTTCACTAACTATTTTAATTCATATTTTCTTGAGTAACAACAGAAAGTTCTGTTTATGTTTCAGATGTTTTCATTGTGTTAAATCCTCTTTGTAGGATCCGTGTCCTCTGTGTGATGAAGCTAATGAAGAGCTGGAACCTCTCAAACACAGAGTGAGACTCATCACATTAAAGTTTATTTTTAAATAATTATATTAATGTTGTGACCTGTCTGTCTGACTTGTCTGTTTCTCTCTGGACAGTTTGTCTTCCAGCAGGTGGACATCAGTCTCCCAGAGAACAGAGCGTGGTGGGACAGTTACAGGTGGGACATACCTGTCTTCCACCTGAATGGACAGTTTGTGATGAAACACAGAGTGGACGTTGTCCTGCTGGACAAACTGCTGCAGGACGCCGAGACGCAGGAGACGTGATGCCAGTTCATGATCAATACTCAATAAACACAACTGATTCAATAGATGTTTCTCTTCTGCGTCTTCTTCCGGGTTCATTACATAAAACCAATCGGAATGGCCGCTCCGTGTGATGTCACAACTGTGGAACGAATTATATTCATTATTTAGGTGTTGGTGTCCGCCAATCAGGGTGGAGGATCATTAGTGATGTCACTGTGATGATGTCACTGTAAAAAGAAAAATAACATTTCTATATTGTATTCTGAGCCCTCAAACCAACACCTGAGTCACCTGATGCTGTGAGCTCATCAATATTTAACCTACCAATGGTTCTCTGTCTCTGGCTGTCAGCCAATCACAGCATGACGGCTGTGGGGGGGTGTAGAGTGTGCTGGTTGTCATGTGCAGACCGTCAGGTGTGCTTTTTGTGAGCTGAAGGTGTGTTGATGGCGTCTAGCAGCTTCAGTAGAGCTGAAGATGTTCAGTTTGCTTTGCAGAGAGCCAAGAATAAGATCAGCAACCTACAGAGACAACTGAACAGCAAGTAAGTTAAAAAAGTTAAATATGTCTTTAATGTTACATCTGTAACAACTGAAGAACAAGATAAGAGTTAAATAAAGCTGCAAGCAGCATTGATCGGGCCCTCGCAACTTCACGCACGTCGAGTGTACTGGCAGGACTCTGGTTGACGCAGCCATGCATTTCTGTGACCATCATACACAGCGCCTGGAAATTGCAAAAACGACACTAGAAATTCTTACAAAATTCAAAATGGCTGACTTCCAGTTGGGTTTAGAGCATGGACCCCTGAGACTTTTTTTTTAAGTCTACATGTGATACATCTGCTTACCAAATTTTAGAAATCTAGGTGAAACGTACTGCGAGGGCTGCATCGTTGAAATATTGTAGGGGGCGCTATCGAGCCGACTTGCCACACTGAAGCATTAAAATCACATTCGACTACTACATTCAGGATTTTAAATGTGTTTGACAAGTTTGATTATGTTTTGAGCATTTTTAGCCCCTCAAAAACACTACTAGCCCCATGTTTAGCCCTCTGCTCGAAAATTGCATACTCATACTCAAGAGAGTAAACTACCCAAACTACAAGGTCTATTTTAATAATTTTGATGGTCTATACAGGTAACACTTGTGAGATGTGTAAATATTGTGTATATGTTACTGGTTAATAACTGATACACTTATGGCACAGCTCAAGTTGAAAAAAAGCACTTTAATTGAACATTTTTTTGGAATTATTGCAGAGTGAAGCCTACAAATACTCCACAGTCATAGCACAACAGGGTTGTGGTCTCTCTAAGCTAATTTTACTTAGATTGAGTGAAGCAGGCCAGCATAATAGGAGGTCTGAGTACAGAATTTCAAGCCGAATGCTCATTTCTCTCTCATGCTCTATTCTAATTTTATATACTATATAATTCACTTTTTTATCACTCATATTATTCAATACATCCAAATACAGATGTTAGGAATCATTTTAAGATTCCTAACATCATCAGAGCCTGTCTCTGGCTCTCGGCCATAGGATTTTCTCAGTCCCTGTGTGTGTATGGCGCTGTAGCTCAGCCTATCATCGGTCGATTTCAGTCAATAAGCCCTCCTTCGACGCGTCAGCGTTTCAGGAAGGCGTGTGTCGAATTTGGTGTTGATTGACATAAGTTTCAGCCAGTAAAGTTGCAAAGAGCGCCGCCTCTCCCGGAGCGTAAAATTCCATACGGTAGCTCTGAACCGGAGCATTTTCGATGTTTTTGTACTAATATTTCATAAAACCTGACCAAAAACCATGGATTTTTTCCGGTGAAGACCAGTGGCATTGGACCGTTGACCAGTCACAGCGTTGTGGTGCGTCCACGGAGAGAAGAACCGACGGTATGTACGCTTTCTCTGCGTGATGCTAATGCTAAACAATGTCCGGATTAGCCGGCTAGCTGCTAGCTTTGTGGTGAAAATATTGATTTGAGGCAGACATAACGCCGATTTCTGCCCAGGATTTCATGATTTTATGCCACATTTTCTAGATGCTTATACTAGTAGTCTATAGTTGTGTTTGGAGTGTGTAAAAAGTGACTTATATGATAGTGTTGCCCATACGTTGCTGTTTAATCCGGAAAAAAAACTGGACAGATCCACAATACTGGCGAACAATAAGGCTATTTTCCGAACAATATTTTCAGGGGTCCTGAGCCCGAGAGCCCCCCAAATGGGGGGCGCTCGTAGCCAGAAGGTTAATCTTTCATGGCGAAGAATACGTCACCACGGCAACGTCTTTTCACGAAACAACAAGCTTTGAGTAACTTTTCATCACAAAGTTCTTTAGATTGTTCTGACCAAATTAGAAGTTGATTCGATTATTTCCCTAGGAGGAGTTCGTTAGAGTACAGTGCCTGGAAATGACAAAAACGACACTAGAAATTCATAAAAACTGCAAAATGACTGACTTCCGGTTGGGTTTAGAGCATGGCTCCAAGAGACTTTTTTTTAAGTCCAAATGTGATATATGTTCCTACCAAATTTTATACATTTATGTGAAACGTACTGCGAGGGATGCTTCGTTGAAATTTTGTAGGGGGCGCTATTGAGCCGATTTGCCACTCTGAACGAATAAAATCATATTATATATCTAAATTTTGGGCTTGTAGTCTGTGTGCCAAATTTGCTTATGTTTCGAGCATTTTTAGCCTCTCAAAATTACCTTAGTTTTTCAAGGCGAAGACTGCGTCGCCACAGCAACGGTATTCGAAGAAACATCAAAAGCTTCATGAACTGGCATTATGAACTTCTTATATTTGTGTGGAAGTAATTTGATGTTGATCTGATTTACCTACTAAGAGAAACAAGCCAAAGTATAAAGACTTTAACTGACTGTTACCAGTAGGTGGCGCTATGACTATGATTCAAAATTGGCCTGCAGATGTCTTCAGGCCTTGAGTCTAATCAAACATGTGAAATCTGGTAAAGATCTGATGATGTGGAGTCGAGTTACATCAGTTTATTCGTTCATGGCGAAGGATTGAAGTTTGCCGAGCCGCCATGTCGCCGCCCTTCAACAACTTCTTACAATCTTCACAATGAAGCATTATCAAGGTCTTAAGACTTTTCTTACAACATTTGAGAGGGATCTGATTAATCTGTGAGGAGCAGGATGTCAAAGTACACAACTTACAACTTCCTGTTTTGCGGCGAATGGTGTTTTTTTGCCGCCACGCCACGGATACATAGTTATATAACTTTTTGATCTTTGAGTAACTTTTCACTGCCAAGGTCTCAAGAGCATACTGACCAAATCTGACCGGGTTAAACCTCTAGGAGGAGTTCGTTATTAGTTATTAAGTATTAAGTATTAAGTATGTTATTAAGTATGACGCCTTGAAATGGTCCAAAAATGTCATCAAATAAAAAATGGCCGACTTCCTGTTTGGTTTAGTGAAAAATTCCAAGAGGATTTTTTGTGCGTCTCATCATGTTCCACATACCTACCAAATTTCATACAGCTGGGTAAAACCCAATGTTGGGGCTACTCAATAGGGGGCGCTATCGAGCCAATATTTCATACCGCAGCTGGACACCCCAATCAGACTGCAATTTTTGCAAAATCTGGCTTGCGTGCCAAATTAAAAAAAATTACCAGTATCCCAAGTACCTCCTTTTTGCAATGAAACACGTACGATAATAATAAAAAACATTAGACGAACAATAGGTCCTCCGCTCCGACTACGTCGGTGCTCGGGCCCTAAATATGCCTTTAATGTTACATCTGTACAGAACACTAACTAATTGAACAACGAGAGGAATGCTGGGTAACATGTCGCAGTGTGGTACAGATTAAAGAGTCAATAAGCTGCAGGAACAATGTGACCTGTTAGTCATGTGATAAGGTCCATGGAGATCAGCTTTGTTTAACTGATTCTACTGGTCTCCAGCAGGTGAGTCAGGGGTGTGTGTGTGTGTGTGTGTGTGTGTGTGTGTGTGAGTGTGAGTGAGTGTGTGCTCATGTATCTTTGTGAGGACTTATTTGAATTATAGACCTTGAGAGGACGGACACTTTTGAAGTGAGGGGACTTGTTTTAAATCTGGGGACGTTTTGGAAAGTAAGGACACGTTGGAAGATGAGCATATATTTGGGAAGTAAGGGACAATTTGGAAAGCAACTCACCTTTTGAAAAATTTGATTTGATTTGGAAAAAAATACATTTTTGAGGGTGAGGACAACAGTGGGGACATTGGTTGAAAGTGGGGCCCGTGATCCCGCGCGACGTCATTGTGTACCCACGGTCCCGTGTGACCTCCGTACACACCACTGATGTTGATCACTCTTTATGGTGAATCCCTGTGTGTTAAGGTGTGTTTTTATTTCCAGAGAAACCAGTTTGGAGAGTCCAGAGGAGACCAGACTAACATGGACGCCAAGCAAGGAGCTCAGGGACTCTCTGGTGGACATGTACAGAGGTAAAATACTGCTACTACACGTGTACAAAGATATTATTATTACTGCTGCAAAATCAGCCAGCTGGTGTAATGAGTCAGACTGTCCACCAGGTGGAGCTGTGGTCCTTCACTCAGCTGAACATTAACACTGAACTCAGACAGACAGAGAGGGGGTCACAGGTCACAAAGCTGTGTCTTAATACTGTCTGTCTGTCTCACAGTAATCAGTTTATTCAGAACCAAACTCAGATCATTTATTTATTCATTTCATCTTCTGTGGTGGCAAATACTCTCTGATCAGCAAGTTAGAGATCAAATAG